CATTACCCAACTAGGTAACATCATCAGTGCACTGATGATGTTACCTAGTTGGGTAATGAAACATCTACAAGCACACAACCAAGCTCAGAGAGCACCAAGGACTCCACAATTTTTACATAGCTTTATGTTCCGTATCTCCCTCCTACCCCCACCCTCATCCCTTCAAATCTTACATCTTGGCAGAAGGCAACAGTAATCCATTTCTGTATTGTTGCAAATGACGCATAGAAACCAGGCATTGATTTTGACTTGACAGAATGTTGTCTTTGTTTAGGGCTATGCAGAGATTTGGATTTGAAGGGTTTGGAAGACATCTAGGTGTGTACATAACACCTGTCAGGATCCCTTTAAACCAGAATTTCTCAAACTTGGTAACTTTAAGATGTGTGGACTTCAACTCCCAGCATTCCCCAGCCAGCTTCATATCTGATATGAAGCAGATATGAAGGAAATTGTTTGGCCCTGGGTTAAGGTTCTGAACAGGAGATACATAGGCACTCGAATCACATTTTGCCCTCCGAATCCCGATCTCTCCACAGTCCTAACCTTTTTACATGCTTGTGGTGAAATTTATTGAATAAAATGTATATAAAGAAAGCAAAAGTCACCACCTGTCTGCCTTTGTGGAGCAAATAATCAAACAAATCACCACCTGTCTAGACAGCTGTAGACTATGCTGTACAAATGGCAGCCCCATGTAAAATTTCTTTTGGAGACTTGTACCATTTCCATTCAAAGGTGTGGAACTGAATGTCCGCAGGCTCCCTGCGATTAAATAAACAAACATGCCAGCACATTCAAAGCTAGCATGCCAGGCTAAAGAGAACCCTGATAAACTATGTTCAGATAAGCTGGGGTGTTTAAATGATAAAAGATTCCGGTATTTCACAACTCTGCACGTTGTTGGAAGTGGTCTCTCCCAGCATCCGATACATTGCATAGAGTGCTGGTTTTGGTATGATTTTTCTTCTTGGAAGAACCTTGCCTGGAAGCATCCTCGAGCTGGGTTCCCAAACCGCAGCTGGCTGTGTTGACATAGGTGCTGAGCCAAAAACCAGACCAACCACATTATTTATTCAAATGGCCTCTGGGCTACTGGATGTTTCTTAGGTTGAAGCAACAGAGACAACCACTTGTCTTACTGTCCCTTCAACACTTGTAACCTACAGTGTTTGTGAACACTGACTAAGCAGTGATGCATTTGATTTTACAAGCAATTCTTCATGGCTCCCATACAGTCATCCTTCATCTAACATTCACTCACTGCGTTGAATTCACAGCACTGATGGTATGTGAATAGACAGGGATGTGCACTGGTCAGAACTGGGAGATGTTTCTGGATCAATGACTCCTAGCAGCACCAGTCCGAAGGCATTGTGAGTTTTTCCATTTATCTCTCCGTAGTGGATTTTTGGTTTACACAAAAAGGCAAAAGAATTGGTGAAAAAGCATGGGAAGATTACAAATGCCTGGACTGCTTGTAAAATGCTATCTTCTAGGCAAAATAAAAAGCTTTCTTGGAGAAGCAGTCTGCTAAAAGTCACCACATCCTGAATCACTGATACTAGAGCCAGTTGTTTGTAGAATTCCCTGGATGCAGAATCATCTCAGAATCAGATTAAACTCCATGTTTTCTGCCTGGTTTGATTCTCAATTGTAGATCAGTCCGTAAGTCTTCTCTGTTGCTCAGTTGAAATCGCAATCCGCAGCTCAGGCACAAGCCGAACGGAACAGCCTTTGATTTATTTGAGCTGTGAATGAAACAGGGCAGCGCATGAAAGTGGAACAACAAAGTGATGATGCTATGACTGGGAGGAACTACAACATTCTTTCAGCTGTCACATCAATTCTTATCTGACAAGCCCTTCGTTAACCAGATGAAAGCTACCACCAGCCTGTTTTTGTTCTAAGCAATTTCCTGTGTTTCCAGAAAGATGAAAGATAACTCATTTCTGGACTTAAAAAAAAAAAAAAAAAGGATAAAAAAGATGCTTATTCCAAGGGAAATTTGACTATGAAGAAATAATTTGGGGTTCTCTTTTCTCACGTCAGTCTGGCTCTGCATTAATAACTTCAGCAGACAGTTTCTGTAGCGCCATAATAGCTCTTTTCAGGCTGTGTGACAGAGGGTGCTTTAATTGTCTCGTGAGCCCACAAGCATGACTGATTTTTGTGATTCTAGACATATTTCCTCCTAATTTCCTCTCCTCTTTGGATATTACACTTACCAGCAATCAAAGTATAAATCCTGGGTTGCTGGGAATATTAATAATTCCCCAGCTTCCTCCCTTAACTTCTACTCAGCTTCTGCACATCTGTTTCAGTTGCAATGAATATCAGCATGTTCTTATCCATGTAGACCAGTGTTTCTCAACCTTGGCAGCTTTAAGATGTGTGGACTTCAACTCTCAGAATTCCCCAGCCAGCTGGCTGGGGAAT